TTTTTGTTTTGTTGCTTTTTTTTTTTTTTTTTTTTTTTCCCCTTTGTGTGTGATCGATCGGAGAATCAATCTGCGCCGCGGTAGATATGGCGGACGCGCAATGGGCGGCGTCTTCTTCTTCTTCCGGCGGAGGTCGGCGGAATGTCTCCCGCCCAAGCCGCGTCTCTCCAGGGGTGTTTGGCAACGCTGGCGGAGGGGCAAACAACACGGGCAACGCCTCGGCGCGCGGCGGAAGGGTCGCCGCTCACGGCAACGGCTTTTTGTCGTTTATGGGATTATTCGATTGCTTGATGATGTGCTTGCCGTCGAAGTGGGCGGCAAGATGGATCCAGCGTCGCTACTGGTCGTACATGTCCGATTCCGAGCTGGATTTCGAAGAGTACGGCGAGAAGCCGGCGTGGGTCACGGGCTCCGCTCGGCGGGAGATTGAAATTGGACCGCGGACGGACTTCCGCCCGCCGTGCGCTGGCGGGAAACTTCTGTGCGGCGCGTACAAACTGGTTCTGGACCTTAGCGACATCGTGGACTGGGCGGCACTCCTGCTGTTCGTAGCCCTTCTTGCCGCCTTCGCCTCCTCTTTCATCGGCCACTCCCAGGCGCTCTTCTGGTTGTCGTGGATCGCCTTCGCGCAGAGTGTGATGTCCCTCCTCTCCTCCTACGCTAGGCGTACGCGCACCGGCGCCGATCGCGGCGCAGAGGTTCCCTGCTCTTATTGGCTGTCCAATCCCCCAAGGGAAGCCATATCTGTGCCGCTCGGTAGTCGACTTCCCATGTCCATCGTCGAAGACGGCTGGGAGCTCCTTCAGAACCTGTTCAAGGGAGCGGTAGGTGCCGCTCTCTTGCTTCTCGTCGACGATCAGCTTCCTCTCTCCTCCTCCTCCTCCTCCTCCTCCATATCCTCGTCAGGTGGTGGTGGTCATGACATCGCCATCGCTCGGCAGAGAGCGAAAGAAGGGCTGTACGCCGGCGGCATTCTTCTCGTACTCCAGTTCGCCATAGCACTGCTGAGGTTCCTGATGCACTTCGTAAAGGAACGGGATCCCGGGCTGAAGGCGTGGATGTCGCACTTTGTGCGACACCCGCGCCTGGCAGGCGCGATGGCGCACGACAGCGAGTTGTGCGGCCTTCCCGCGCACTGGTTCATGAGCGTAGGAGACGTCAAGCTCTCCTTGGCGTGGGCGCTCAGCAAGATCCATCAATGGAAGCTGAGGCGGCACAAGTTCCGCGTCTTTTCCTACCGCGTGAGCGGGGCGGAGGCGGACCTCGGCGCGGCGACGGAGGTGTCGGACACCGTCGTGCAGAGGTACCTGGCGATGTCGCTCAAGGCGCTCGAGCGCGCATCCACCTACCCGAAGGGACGGGAAGAGATCCTCCAGAACAACGGATTTGAACTGGTGCTGTTCGCGCTGAAGCCGGGGGGGGACCCGCACGTGCGGGGCATGGCGGCCAAGGTCGTGGAGTCCTTCTTCCTCAGCTTGGCGCGCAATGCATTCGCCGACGGCAAGGTCAACGCGTGGGCGAGGAGGGCAAGGGGGG